GGGCCGCCAGGGGGAGCCCGCGGCGGCGGCAGCGCCCCCGCGCCCCGCGGAGCCACCGCGCCGGGACCCCGGGCAGCGCGGCCGGCGCCGCTCCCGCGGGGCTCCCGAGGGCTCTGCCGGCCTCCAGCCGAGCACAGCGCCGGGCGGCGGGGGGAGCCGCGGCGGCGGGGCCCCGAACTTTGCCCCATGAAATGCTCATCGGTTTTCTTTGGGGTGTTCAGTCGTCTGTTTGGGGTGGGTATTTTGGGGGTGTTGTCTCTTTGGGTTGGGGATGCTCATAGCTGGGCGGCAGGGCACTTCCCCCGCTGGCCGGTGCTATGTGATCACCCGGGAGTGCCTCCGTACACTTGTCTTCGGAAACCCGGCACGGCCGGTGTCGTCTTCAACCAAGTGGGAAAAGTGTAAAGAGAAAAACCGCTTCTGAACAACGACCTGGCTCTTACACTGCCAGAGGCACGTAAGGGACTGAGGGAGGCATGGCAGTCGCTGTAAAGTTCAGAGCTCCATACATTTTTCATAGAGACGGTGCACTTGAAGTTCATGCCTGGGCGAGGCTTGTTTAAGTGTTGTATTCCTCTCTTTCAAATACCGGGAGACTCCCCAAAGAGAAATTGAATGAACGTGGGTTCAATATTTCTTACTCTAAAGATAAAGATATTTCACTTCAAAAATTGAATTAGGCTTGGAAGAGGTGTCTTTTTAATCGATCATGTCTCTCTGAAACATATTACATGATAATTTTGCTAAGTCCTTTAAGTGACATACATTTGAAATTTCACCTTACTCATTCCATTGTTCCACTCCTTTTTGTCAGGGATTCTTTCCCTATATTTCTGTTTATGTGAACCTTACACAAAGCTGTGAAGACGAGATGAACATTCATGATAAGCAGGGAAATGCGGCTGTAAAGCCAGGCAGTGTACCCCGGGGAAATCAGATAGATGTGATACTAAAAATTATATTTGCCCTTTTTTAAATTTCTTCTTCTTTTTTTTTTATTTTTTTTTTATTTTTTATTTTCAGGTCGGTAATGTCTGTTTACAGGAACTCTTCCTTTTGCCAATATCAATGTTTAATATGTCAGTTTACTCTGAGTGCCTCAGAAGCCTCTGTCTAACAGGTCTTCGGATGAGATCCGGTGGAGCATGTTGCTTTACCAGAGGAATGCTTTTGAAGATGGGGCTCACTCACTCGAAATCCTGTAAAGTTCATTCTCTGTTCTGGGCAAACAGCCAGCTGTTTTCAGCGCGAGCCGAACCTCAGTTGAATCGGATTATGCTACTAAGAGATTCTCCTCTCTCCTATTCCCCCCATGGCAACCACATGTTTCCATAAGTGGAGAGAAGATGAGGTTCATTCTCCCTGGCAGCTCTTGGAAGTGGAAGGGACAGAGGCTCAGAAGCTGCAGTGCCCTGCAGCCCAGCGGTACAAGGCTGGCTGCGGGGCTGGCAGCCCTGTGCTGCCGTCCGTGCTGAGAGCCGGCACCGCCTGGGTGCAGCTGTAGCACCTCCCAACTCACACACTCATCTGTGTGAGTTGGGAGTACGTCCCTACGTACCTCTGGCACCTGTTTGTTAATGTTTCCATGCCCCTTGTTAAACAGGCTGCTTCATCACACTGCGGCTGGATGAGTATTCTGGAAGCGCTCACTGTGACAGTGGGAGAGGGTTTCGGTCAGAGATGTGTTTGCTTCTGGGTGCTCAGAGGCCATTTCAGACAAATCCGACAGCTGAGTGGATCAGAACAGCGGTGTTTGTGTAACTTTATTCCCGCTGATTACACCAAATGAATGCATACCTGAAGTCCAATTTGGGATCTGCCCGTAAACTGTGGGGGCTGTAGGGAGGTGCTGTGCTCAGAGCAGCCCCGTTATTTGGCAGCCCCCTTTTTGGCAATGCAGAGAAAAACTGTAGGTCTTTGCAGACAGCCCTGCTGCCGTTGTGACAAATGGATTTCTTGCGCATGCAGGACCATCATAAATACAATGCCAAACTTTTGCTGTGTCCAATTAAATTGTTTCCAATTACCTTTCACTTTGTCTCACTACCACACCACACACATAGCATTACACCATCTCATGGCTTCATGCTTTTAATATTGCAGCTTAGCCATGCAGGGTTTCTTCCATGGTTAGACAAAGTACTGGGAGGAGCAATTATATGGGATGCATTCTGTTTAATAATACCAACAGTGGACTGCATCACACAATCAGTAGGTACTGATTGAGAGCAGCATTTTTTAACATTTTAATAATCGCTCAAGATGATGTCCCTGTGGCTCAGGGTCCCCCAGTCCTAGCACTCCTGGCCCGATTTCAATCAAAGTGCTAAGTATGCCTTGCTCCCTTTTAACTGTTAGTTCCCATGCTGACATTCAGCTATGTCACATCTGGCATTTTCATTTATCCAACACCCAACAGGAGCAGTTTTACCAGAACATAAGCGTAGAATCCGTATAATTGTGAAAATTTATTTTTTGTTAAGCATTTCACCCCCCAGCTGAATGTGCTAGAGGTTAGTCCCATGACTCCTTTTTGTTGTTTACTCTGAAGAAGCAATTTACCTTCTAGCAACAGTCACCATGAATAAAAGGAGAAAAACTCTCCACGGCCACCAGAGTTCACAGGGTACCAAGTCCTTTCAACTTTTGAGTTTCTGTCAATAAAGGTGTATAAGCTGTTGTTACAGCAACCTCAGTGACTGCCTAACACACTGCCCAGGGGCCTGGCCTAAGCCTAAATCCTCGTGCCTGAACCACAGTCCTTAAAAGAGATGGGGAAGTCCTCTCCTGGAGCTCTGATCTCACAGCTGTGCTCTGATCCTGCTTGAGACCTGGAAGGCCCTGTGGCAGGACCAGAAGCTAACCACTAACTAACGCAGTACCAGTAAAACTTGTAAGTAGGGCAGCAGTACTAAGAAGAATTTTTTTTTAACGGCATGTGCTTGTACCCCCGAGTAGGTTGAACAGTCTCCCTGGATGTGAGGACTTGGGCCCTCACCTCAGATTAGCCAGATTTTAGAGGTTTGAAACTCAGTCTTTCCTTTTCCAGCTGAGTCACCTGGAACTGCTGAAACTGCTTTTCTGTGGTACCGTTGGCATCCGTTGGTTCCCAACTCCAGGAAAAGAATCAGAACCGCAGATTTCAATGGTTGCAGTTCTGTGGAACATTTCTGGGTGTTGTATTCTCAAGGCTGTTTGTCTTGTTGTGGAGATTCAGTCAGACAAGCCAGACTCTTCTGTCACATTTTTTCAAGGGTGGGAAAACTGAGGTACTGGAGCAGCTCTAGCCAAGGATGTGCCCTGTCATTTTTCAATCAACCATCAAGGATGCCAAGAGGAAGAATCATCTCTTTTTCATTCCTCTGAATGACTATTATATATTTGCTGTTTGATTTATATTGAATATATAAATTTTATGTTGATATGTAAATTTTAATATTTGATATAACATTTTATCTCGAACCTTTTTATTTTATTAAAACATTCCTTGATTATGAGTAAGAAATCAATTTTTTTTTTCTTTATCCCTGGAATGAAATAATTGCAGCTGGAGGGAATGAGATCTTTCATTAACACACTCTGCTGCAACACCAGATGGATCAACATTAGCTCAGAGCTGCAATTCTTCCTACTTGTTCCTGCATGGTGCTTCGGCAGGGGTTTATTCATACTTCTGGTGAGTTTGGGTTGAGCACCATCCTGAAGCTGTAGCTTATTTGAAAGAAACACAGGTATCTCTACAGGCAGAGCTGCATTGGGGAACTATTTTATGATGCTTTTAGGGAACAAGCAACAGCCGTGGAGGCAAAGTGTTGGTGTACACAAAAGTCCATTGCTGAAAATCCTTCCAAGCCACTTCTTGGGCAGAGTTCATTAGGAGAGTCCAACTACTCCAACCACCTCCCAACACACATGAGAAGGATTCAGAGAAGTGACAAGTTTCCAACATGGGAGGTTGACTATAACAAAAAAAAAAAGGAAGGGTAGAGCACAGCAGCACAACCTTCATGTTGCTCCTCAGCCTCCATGTGTCACTGTCGCATTTTGGCACCATTGCTAGAGATTAATCATGGCCTCACAAGACAACTTGTTATGAGATGAGAAGTCATCAGTCGGGAATGATGAGCATAGTGCATCTGTTCATACATGTTAGTGGGTGAGCATCTGTGGAAAGGCAACAGAGCTGTTGTTGGGGAATATCAGCACACAGCTCATGTACAGTTCCCAGCCAAGAACTCTGCATCTCATGAAGAAAGAGGAGAGGAGCATGGAGGCACAGGCAGAGCTGTTGTCCCCTCTGGTTCTCACTTCCTCGCCTTACATGCGATGTGAGACGCCCCACCTGCATCGCAGAGAGAGTGAGGAAGGTTGTGGGTGGCAATGTCTGTTGTTCACATCCATCATAAAGATACTTTATATTTTTCATTAGCTGCAGGAGGGAATATAACAACTGACTAATAATTTTCATTCTTACAGGGGAATATTCACACACACACACAGAGACAGGGAGAATTGCATTGCAATGCCTTTGGAGCCTGAGACCAAG